CCAACCTACCCGCTCCCAAAAAACCTCCAGGATAAAAAAAACTAAATTTGTATGTTATTTAAAGTTAGAATAACTCTAATAAATTTACTACGGTCATTTGACGTAAAATAGTCACTTCTACGTCACACGACGTTATAAAGGGTTAAATTAAAATCTACAATTGAATTGCAATGTTATACGATCGAATAAAAAAACCAGAATAAAATTAATTATTTCGACGAACCATTTTTGCATGTTATTCAATGAAGAACAGTATCGTACAGAGGACAACCGACAATTTAAAATTTACGAGCACGTGAACAACTCTTCAGCCTCTTCACTTTTCTCCTTTTCCCCCTTCCTTGCTTTCCTCGCACGATCCTTCGTCTTTTCAACATCAACGCCAGGACAATACTTCGGAGGACACGGATTCTTCAGCATACGTGAAATTTCACGATGCACCGGACTCAACCTCGGCTGCTTTATCTCTTCTATAAAATAACGATTGTCTCGTCTCACTTCGGTCCTCATCGGTAGACACACGGGTCCAAACCATTCTCTGACTTGAAAAATCTCAATCGTACCGGATACAGTACCTCGAGCACCCCTCACACTGTCGCCAAGCTGTTACTACGCCTAGGTACAGTATATTCTCCACAAGTGTCAGACCGCAAGGAAGCTAAACCTGACACTCATAGAGTCAGGGACTACGTTTTCGAGCCTCGCGCCCGCCATTGTAGTTTGCCGAACGTAGGCAAGGACAGCGAATAAAAGATAAGCATAAAACGTGAGTCGAGGCAACCAAACGATTTAAATATCAACTTTTTTAATTTTCCCTTTTTTCATCTGGAATTTTTTTTAACATGTTGGTGAGATTTTTCTGATGGAAATGATATCAAACACGATATAATTTGAACAACATTTACTTATTAACACGTTCACTGTCGCGCCAGATTAACAGGTTGCTGTCAGGCGGCCACAAGAAAATACATGTTAAGCATAGGATTATAATATTAGAGACACTCCACTCACTGATGACCACTATAGCCATATCGAGGAAACAATCTAACGTTAAAACTTATTGAGTGATTAATTTAATTTCATAATATATCGCTTTAGCGAGCCACCGTTTGGTTGCCAATTGTTTATCACATAGAGTCGGTCTACCTCCACGTAAAAAAAAAAAAAGGTAGGGTCGATTCGACAAGTGTCAGTAAAATGTAGGGTCGATAGCAGCAGAAAAGCTGCTAAACAATTAGAATTAAATGTAACGATAGAAATTATTGCAATAATGCGTAATGCAATTGAAAAATCGCAGAAAAGCCTGATACAAATGTTTGAAAAGTAAAATATATAAGATGAGATACAGTATCTTACCACGTAATGTAACTTTTTATTGTGTAACATATTAAAAACACTGTTTGGGAAAAATTTGTCACAGAATTGCATTTCTTATTTAATCTTCCTTTACTGCTACTTCTTGTCAAATCTTATGTCAGAAAATTGAAGAAATTCTTCTTTGTGTTTCGTAGGCAATTGATTGCTAATTTGCTATTGACAGATCGATGTTAAAATTTGATGTTAAATGGAACTCTCATATCTAACATAGTATCTGAATAATTTTTCAAGGTATTTTATTAAGAAACGCGCACATAGTGTTCAATTTTCTATCTTAGAATTAACTTACTTTATCTTACGAACTACTTAAAGTTTAGCAAGTACCAGTAATTGGTAAAATGATTTATATTTGTTTTAAAAGGAAAATTTCTAATAGGTATTAGTTAAAATGAATTGTTATTCAGTCTATTGTATTGAAATTCTAATTGATTCTAATGTATACAAGTGTTACAAGAAGGCTGAGTGTGTACAGGGTGGACATAGGCTAGCTAGTAGCCCCCGACCACTCTATGAACTTTAACGTCTATACTCGAAAGTGTATCGTCAACACTAACACGTTACCCAGATTATCCAAAAATTGAAGAAGTTACTTTTAAAATTGAACATTCTACGGTGTTTCGAGAGATTTGATAATCATAGTCGAACCTTAAACGAACGTTCAAACGAAGAAAATTTTCCAAAAATCATTTCGTACGTTATTAATCGATAAAACAAAAATTCATTGTTGAAAAATAAATATTTCCTGAAAATCTTCATCTTCCATACAAGATTCAAGATTTTCCCTAATTAAGAGTAATTTCAAAAGATTATCTGTATAAGCTATTATTTCAATACGCGATGCACTGACTCTAGTATTTACTAAAATTCAAAAATTCTCGTATAAATTCCGAAAATAGATTATTAATTACGGTAAACTACTGAGACGGTTTAATTAAGGGTGGGCATGGTGCTGCTTTAGTTTGAAATGATTTATAAACACATAATTAACAGAGGAAAAACCGTGAAACGGCAAAACGTCTACATTCTAATTGTTATAACATGTAAACAGAACTTTAAATTTAGTGTAAACAGAAAAAATATATAATACAATTTATTTCACGGTATTGCAACAAATAAACGTTGAATCAATATTTAATTCGTATAAAAACAATTATTTAACGTAATAATTTTACCTTCACTATGGCTATTTTTAATCTACGACCACAGGTCAACCTGATTTCTAATCCTTACGAACTTTAAATTCAGTCTAAACTGAGAAAATATATAATACAATTTATTTCACGGTATTGCAACAAATAAACGTTGAATCAATATTTAATTCGTATCAAAACAATTATTTAACGTAATAATTTTATCTTCACTATGGCTATTTTTAATCTACGACCACAGGTCAACCTGATTTCTAATCCTTACGAACTTTAAATTCAGTCTAAACTGAGAAAATATATAATACAATTTATTTCACGGTATTGCAACAAATAAACGTTGAATAGATTCTTAATTCGTATAGAAACATTTATTTAAAATAATAATTTCACCTTCACTATGGCTATTTTAAATTTACGACCAAGGGTCAACCTGATTTTTAATCCTCCGAACTTGATTTCACAACGAGAAAGTAATAAGATCGTTGAAACGTACTTATTTGTCAAAGAAACTTGCAAAAATGTATAAATAATAATATGTAATGTTTTAACAAATTTTTAGAAGTATAAATTAATAATAAAATTGTGACTAAACCGAAGTTCGAAGTCGAATATTTAAAGTCTGATATTACGTGCCTAGCGAGTGCCGGTAAATGTTAAAATTTGTTTAATAATTAGTAATAGAATGTCTAACTGATTCTAATGTATACAAGTGTTACAAGAAGGCTGAGTGTGTACAGTGTGGACATAGGCTAGCTAGTAACCCCCGACCACTCTATTCACGTCTCAGAACCTTCAGGTCAAAATACGCCGCGAAGTGTCTAGGGCCCAGTATAAAGGGTGAATGATTTCGCGGGACATCGGCGGGTCCTTATATACCTTCGGTACCCTCTCCCCAAAGTCATTAGCAAAATCGTCGGTTAGGTCAGGCGGGAAATATTCGCGGGAAATTTTCGCGGGAGATTTCTGTTATCGTAACACGGTATAATTTATCAATTTTCACAATTTTATTAAAAATTTATACTTCCGACAATTTGTTATAACATTGCATATAACAATTTATACGTTTTTACAATATTCTTCAATGGAAACATAGGTTTTAGCGTTCTCGTTACTTACTCGTGGTTAAATTAATTTCGTAGGGATTAAAAATCAGGTTGACCTGTGGTCGTAGATTAAAAATAACCATAGTACAGCTAAATTTATCGTGTTAAATAATTCTTCTTACACGAATCAAAAATGTATTCAACGTTTGTTTGTTATAATATCGTGAAATAAATTATATTACACATTTTCTCTATTCACACTGAATTTAAAGATTATAACGATTAAAAATCAAGTTGACCTGTGGTCATTTATCAAGAATAATCATAATAAAGCTGAAATTATTGTGTTAAATAATTTTTTTAATACGAATTAGGAATTTATTCAACGTTTGCTTGTTACAATACCATGAAATAAATTATATTATACGTTTTCTTTATTTCCACTAAATTTAACGTTGTAACAACCATCAACGAAATTTATTTCATGGTATTGTAACAAGCAAACGTTGAATACATTTTTCATTCGTGTAAGAAGAATTATTTAACACGATAAATTTAGCTGTACTATGGTTATTTTTAATCTACGACCACAGGTCAACCTGATTTTTAATCCCTACGAAATTAATTTAACCACGAGTAAGTAACGAGAACGCTAAAACCTATGTTTCCATTGAAGAATATTGTAAAAACGTATAAATTGTTATATGCAATGTTATAACAAATTGTCGGAAGTATAAATTTTTAATAAAATTGTGAAAATTGATAAATTATACCGTGTTACGATATCGGAAATCTCCCGCGAAAATCTCCCGCGAAAATTTCCCGCCTGACCTAACCGACGATTTTGCTAATGACTTTGGGGAGAGGGTACCGCAGGTATATAAGGACCCGCCGATGTCCCGCGAAATCATTTACCCTTTATACTGGGCCCTAGACACTTCGCGGCGTATTTTGACCTGAAGGTTCTGAGATGTGAATAGAGTGGTCGGGGGCTACTAGCTAGTCTATGTCCACCCTGTACACACTCAGCCTTCTTGTAACACTTGTATACATTAGAATCAATTAGAATTTCTATTACTAATTATTAAACAAATTTTAACAATTACCGGCACTCGCTAGGC